GAGAAATTACAATATTCCATCCACAGGTAAGGACACGCTTCTAGTATGGTGAATAGTCGTCAAAATCGTAAACAGACCAATTTGAAGTAGACTACATTTTTGTTGAAGTGTATCCCTCCACTTTGACGAGCTTGTTTAGATCAGCTGAGTTGTCCTCAGTGGTGTAACTTGTGATTGACTCGTTAGCAATTTGTGTTTGAGTCCAAATAAGTTGTCAGATGTTGGGTGCGGTCAGCCCCGAGTTTGTTTACTTGATTGCTTGTCTAACCAGAGGTAAGAAAACGAGTCCTGTTTGCGGACTCCCTACAGGCGCCAACAGTAGCGCATTTTTTTCAAGCATTATGCGTTGGTTAAGCTTACTGTTCCCTCGTGCCAGGTACTTACGCCTTTTCATAAAATATAAGGAAGTGAGTAATTGAGCTTAAACTGTGCGAGAGTCTGCTTTTTATTTGGTTGTTTTACCTAGAGTTTTATTCCGACGGGTAGCAGCATTCCAGCGTTCAGCCGGAAGTCCCGAAGCGGAATGTCCGTATTTGTTCCTGCAGCAACCGACAGCAATGATTAGACGAGCACAAACCCTGTAATCAAGTGCAGAAGTCAGAAATAAAACCAAACACTGAACCTTAGTCATAATATCAATTACTGGATGTAGTACGTAGCCCTAAATCTTAAACTACAAATGACTCTGACTCAAACTCCATTCCAACAAAAGCACGTGCTGATTTTAGGGGTCTGAAATTACGGCGAATGCTTCTGTGCCAGTGATCGCGTCTCTTGCCCCCAACTACCGCAGTCAGTACCATTGAGGGCTACACAGCAACCACGCCCTATGCGTTGACCCGGCTGGCATGCATATGTACGTTCCTTGCTCATGCCCTTCAGCCGGGTGGTGTTTCCATCCGATGGTTCAGTCTAAGTTACATTAAACGCAGTAAATTATACTTTGAAGCCTGCGAGAAATTGTTATACTCGATCCAGAGATGACGAAGAGCTGCTTGTATAGCGAATAGTCAGTAAAATCGTACGGAACCCAATTGGAAATAAAAAGCTTTTTTTGTTGAAGTTCGTCGCTTCGCATCGGCAATCTTTTTAGTTCAGCGGCCCTATCTTCAGTCGTGTGACATGCGTTCGAATTGTTTGCAACTTCGTGCTTGATGCCAACTAAAGTTGTCAAATGCTGGTGCGGTCAGCCCGTATTTGTTTACTTGATTGTTTGTGTAGGCAGAAGTAACAAAAGAATTCCCTTTTCCAGGGAACGATATCTGCGCGCGTTAATCAATGTTACCGAAATGCAATCAGTGAGTGGGTATAAAAGGGAAAGCAGATTAGATGGCTGCATCGTCAAACCAAACAGGACATCACAAGCGATCACAATGAAAACATTCCTAACAATTTTGCTTCTCGCCGTGCTGGTGCAGATGACCCTGGCGAAGACTGCGAGGAAGGCGGAACCAGAGGAGGATCTGTCGCAGGGGGAGGTCAGTGCGAAAGAGGACGAGGGTGCAGTGTCTCCAGCCTGCGGCGGCGGTTGGTGGGGTGGCTGTGGCTGCCATCACCACCACGGATGCTGTTGGCGTCGCTGCTGCCACCATCACCACCACTGTTGCCACCATCATGGTTGGGGTTGGGGTTGGTAAACACGCATAATATGCCATTTCCTGCTGACCAATAAACATATTGCCGCTTATTTTTGTCTTGTCTTTTCAATTGCTTAAACCGAGGACCAACCCCTGAAACCAGCGAACTGATTACTTTTGAACGGCAACTCATGGGGTCGAAAACCCTGACTTCCCATTAGCAGTACTCTGAATTTAATGAGCGAAAAGAATCTGACGTATTTAAGATTTGTTTGTGGGCTTAAACATTTATTAAACCGAGGTGATGGCGTAGGAAAGCCGAGGTATGGGAATCACGCGAGCACAGCTGTGGAACATTTTACTGTTTTGCCGACTGTTTGTCTACTTGAACTCACCATAGAATGTCAACCAGAGTTTCCGAGGCGCACATTTCAATTGCGTATAAAAAGTGCAACCTTTTTGGTAGTCCCAGTTTCAGCCTCTGCGCGATATCACAAGGCCTCACAATATAATTTATCCTGGCAGTTTTGTTTCTGAGAGTCCTGGCGCAGATCACCTTGCTGGATGAGTTTCCCAAGGAGGAGTCAGATGAGTAGGAGGAGGAGGAGGGGGAGGAGTTCTAGGCGATGGAGAAGTATCGCTGAAAGGCAGCTCATGGATGGGTCAGTGCGAAGGAGGATGTTGGGGTTTCCCCAGACCGTGATTGTGACTGCTACCATCACAGGCCTTGCTGGCACTGCCGTGACTGCTTGACCCTCGTGCTGTGTTGGTCTGCAGGTCAGATCGTAAGAATAACTTTCCAATATAAGCGAAGAGACGAGTCCCAGAAACCAGTCTTGAAGAAGTAGACACGATCGCTGGGACAAGAGCTTTATATACCTGACGTTTCGCATTCCTGCTCGAACCCATCCTAAGAGACAAGGCGGATACGGATCTGCCTTGTCTCTGATGATGGGCTCGAGCAGGAATACGAAACTTCAGGCTAATAAAGCTCTTGTCCCAGCCATCGTCTTTCCTTCTTCAATAGGAATGACTATTTTTAACAACCGAAGGCCGTAGGATTGTACCGCTCTATAAGGGACCCTATATACGCACGCAATGGGTAATTCAAAACCTCTTATCTCTGGAGAATTGAATGTGGTGAAGCATTAGCTGCCCCTGACGGTTAAAAATAACCGATGGTTTTACGCTCTCACTACAACCTGGTCAACGGCCTTTCAAATGTAGACATATGTTATGCCTTTGGGGGTCACGGCGGCACAGATGACTGTTTCAGTTACAAGAGACAGGTCAGAGGAAGAGACTGACTAGCGAACAGAGGTCATTTTACGCGACTGCAGAACCAGCCATACGCTTTAGGTCATACTTATCCTCGTCCAATTCCACGCGTTCCGACGTCAGGTTTCATGCCGGTGACGCTCAGGTGGCGTCACACTCCGACTGACCCAGGTCCTGGTCATCTCGGTCGATACCGAGGAAGGCGTAGTAGACTAGTCTTGTAACAAGACTGGCGGCTTCATTTCACAACATTGTTGGCGTAGCAACAGGAATTTGAGGCTTTTCAGGACAACTTAACCTTTCACACACAAGTTATCAAATTTTTTATTGGTACTACTAGGGCTTCGCCACATACTTGAGACCAAAACATTCAGAAGACGATTACTGGAACAAGAAATTTATTGGCCTGACGCTTCGGATTCTCACTCAAGCTCAGCACCAGACAAGGGCAATAGTGGCACAAAGAGTGCGTTATTTATAGCACGTGACTGCCGTGGGACCACATGCGTCCTGTGATTAACAGCTCTTGCAATCACCGCTGGGGCCGTAATTGATATTATGGTGGCTTGTCTGTCCGCGTCCGAGTCGTTAATCGATGCGATTTCGTCATCCGTATTGGATTGCTCGGCAAATTGGCTCTGTCTCTGGGATTATTGCTCGCCCGCGGCCTCCACACGTGACTAATTCCCCTGCCCAGGGAAAATCTCAGTATAGAATACGGTAACGGGAAGTTATTGCGCTTGTTGATGGATTGCGGGTCTGAGAACCATGACTCGAGCAGCTTGCAGCTCACGCGGTTTTCACCCCTTGTGAGGATTTCGGCCTCTTGTAACTTTGAAATATGGCTGGGTCCCGTCGAATGAGCCGTCACCTGAGAGCTAGCGTCTCCCTGCCTCACTGCTGCTGCGTTTTCGGCAACTAGCGTCCGCAGTAATCTCCCGGTTTTTCCGACGTAGCCGCTTTGTCCGCAACTGCACCGAATCCGGTTGATGACTCCTGACGTTTCCTGTCGTGGCAGTGGGACTTTTGGTCTCATGACTTGGCGTCCTCGATCAGCAATCAAAGTAGGTGTCCATCGACTTCGCCAGCGGACATTTTCAGTCATTCAGAAGCCATCAACTGGGCAATCGGCTATTAACTTAGGTGAGATAACTACCATATTCTAGGCAATATTCGGAACACCTTCAGGGTCTCTGGTGGCATTTATTGATTTTACCAATGATGTGGGTTTTTGTTGCGCGCGCGCGCCACATGCACAACCTGACGCCCTAAAAAACAAGCACTAGGATTTCACACAACGGGGCTTAAACGGAGTACCTCTCACGTGCGTGAGAGTGCCGTCGAAGAAGCTGTTTCAGCCCGGCTCGCTGCCCACCAGTTCGCCACTGCACACAAACCCACACACAATTGGACGCACTGAGTGGATTGAGTTGGTGCGTCAGTCAGCAGCCTTCTAAGCCACGACGCCTGACGTGCCGTGATAGTCTCAGACTCGAATCCCACATGCAGTTGGGGATCCGCATGGAGACGAAGTCAAGACGCACACTTTCAATTTGCGCAGGAGTTGGCATTTGGGTGCTTGTGGTGGGGTATGTTGATGCGCGATGAGATGTTGGTGAGGGAGGATTTGATTGAGCCGGCGGTTGTCCATCGCAGGTTTTCGTGGACGCGCATGTTGCCGAAATGGCCTATGCGGTGCATGAATGTCAAGTGCAATTTGGACATTGGAGGTGGATGCCGCGAGTGTAGGTCTTTGCTGCAGGCGCTGGTTCGTCAGTCTGTGTGTGATTCGATTCGCTTGTGACCGGCCAGGCCGATGTGTGAATTGAGTGTGCGGGGACAATGTGGACATGAAAATTCGGCGGTGTCGGTATCAGCTACGGTGGTGGTGGT